GAAGGAACACGGTCTTCCACGACCGTTGCCGCTCTCCCTCGTAGAATCAAAGCTCCTCCTTGACGTCTGTTACCGCTCGGCAGAGAACATGGTCGCCGAGATGAACACGGTCCGCAAGTTCAACTAGCTACTTTAACCTTCTTTCATGTAAATATGCAAGCTTGAAGTGATTTTGAGCTCAAATTGCTTACAAATGAAAAAAACCACAATAAAGAACCATATATATATATATAGTGAACAAAATGAGATAAGACAATGGTGAAAAATGAGAGTATGAGATTGGTAACCTTTACAACTGAAGAATCGACGGAGAAATCAAAGAAATCGACGGAGGAATCGAAGAATAGATGGAGGAACAATGGAGGGAGGGAGGAAGCAAGAACACTACTGCAGTGAGCTTCAAAATACGCTGAGCTCGGGCTCGGGGAGGAAGAAGGAGATGGCCGATATATAAAGGGGGGACCTTTAGTCCCAGTTGGTGGATCCAACCGGGACTAAAGGTAACTTTTCAACCCCGGGCGCAGCCATGGCCCGGGAGTAGACCTTTACTCCCGGTTGGATCCACCAACCGGGAGTAAAAGTATACTGCTAGTCCCGGTTGGAGGCTCCAACCGGGACTAAAGGTCCCTACCACCACTGCTCGCACAAGCCGTTGGCGGGGACCTTTAGTCCCGGTTGGAGCCTCCAACCGGGACTAAAGGTATTTCTAGTCCCGGGGGCAAAAAATTCCGGGACTACAGCCCATTTTGGCCGAGGATCAAAGGTCTGTTCTCTACTAGTATTGTTAGGTCCTTCTCCTTCTAAGCTCGCTCGCCAACGCCAACGCCTCGCCTCTAGCCCCACCACCGCTTAGCCGAGCCCCAGCCTTGCCAACTGCGTGAAGCTCCATTCGGCGCCCAACCCAGCGGTAGCACCGGTAGGCTTCCGGCGCCACACGCGTTGCGGTCGGAGAGTAGGCCAACCATAAGACGGTGATGAATAGATCGACCTTCATCTCACGCCGCACCAAGAACAATCCCATCCTCATTGGCGAGCGACATCGACAAAGACGCCTAACGTGGAGGGACTCACGTGGTGCATTGTTCGCAACGACGTGCCTAGCAACCTCCTCGACGTCTTCCTCATCGCTTTTCGACATGGGGCGCGTTAAATCATGAGCGCCAAGTACTACGACAAGTTCGAGGAGTAGCTCAAGGCCGTGCTCAAGGAGGTGGAGGCGGCCGAGGGGAAGTCATTCTCTTCATCAATGAGATACACCTCATCCTCGGCAGCCAAGCGGACAAAGGGTTCCATGGACGCGCCAACCTCTTCAGGCCGATGCTGGCAAGGGGACAGTTTTGATGCTTCGGCTCCACCACGCTGCAGAGTACCGCAAGTACATGGAGAAGGATGTAGCACTCAAGTGTTTGTCGCAGAGCCGAGCATGGTTGTCGGCGGTGAGAGAGAGAAGGAGAGAGAAAAAGGAGAAGATTTAGTGAGGAGATAAGGACCTGACAAGTGGGCTCCATATGTTGGGTTCACATCGATGCACATTCAAATCTGCGTCGGTAACGATAAAAAGAGGTTAAGATTCGTTTGGACCCAAATGAGACCCGGAACCAAGTTTAGGGACTCAAAAATAGCATTTTAATAGTATGTCAACCTAGATGATACCCCACGCCAAGTTTGAGGACCGACCATGAATTTTCCTCGTATTTAGATACACAGAAAAAGACAAGAGGCCGAACTTTAGCTGCCTTGGTTATCATAGACTTGATAACTTGTTATTAGTGACGCATTTTGTTTCATGGACATGGGTGACACCTAACTAGTGATGACGTGTTGGGTGTTCCATTTATTCGCGTCTCTAATCTTACCTTAGAGACTCATTTCAATCCCACATCACTAATTAAGATATCTCCTTTGTGCTGTTTTGATATAGTGTTCCCTCCCTCCCAAAATAAATCAACTCCTAGAATCACCATATGTTAAACTATCTTAAGTTTGAGTAACTTTATGGAAAAAGGTAACAACATCTGTTGCAGCAAATAGCTACATTACTAAAATATATTCATGATGTATCTAGTTCTAGTGGTACTAATTTGGTGCCCTTTCTATAAATTCAATCAGAATTAAAATAGTTTGGCTTAGAACAACTCTAGAAGTTGATTTAATTTGGGATGAGAGAGTATATACTATATACATCATGACAAATCATGCGGTCACTCCGTTTCACTATGTTTGTCCACACGCTCAGGAGAATTGTTCCTGTAGTATTTGTTGATTGATTGGGAATATCAAGAATATAATATAGTTATTGCAAAATTTCCACTGCATGCCTCTAACTAAGTGCATTACAAGAAGAGAAGTGTATCATCTTATTTAATAAGGTCAGTCTCATTGGGTTTTTATCGAGTTTTATAGGCATTAAATAAGCTAGCATGACATAGCATAAGTAAGAAGAGAGCTGATTAAAATTTCATGTGATGAAATAAGTTTCATAAAGATAAAACTTGCCTACACCGTTCAGAACACATGGGAGTCTCAAAATAGAGCCATGAAAACCATTGAGACTAGCCTAAGGATACCATTTCATACTGCCTTTTTTCTCCTAGCTCGATCACACTTCAATTCATCACTGCCCATCATATATGCTATGGATAATCATATCAGTGGATAAAGAAGTAGAAAATCACACGAATAGCTAGTATAAAGATCTATATTGCATCATGATCATAATTGTGGAAAACAACTGCGTGTGGGCTGCTGAATCTACGTGGGGGATGGCCAGATTCCCGCTCTCCCATGCCAGATTCGTCCGGCTCCGTCGGGAGGCGGTGAGTGTGGCGCCCGATCGGGTCAGTCTCTCAGCAGCGGCGTGGCTACTCCGGACCCATTGGTGAGGCTCCAGCGTCCTCGTGAGGTGGTGTTCCTATCGGCCAATGGGGCGCCGTCCTGCTGGCTTGTGGCGCCGGCGCAGAGCCAAGCCTTCCTAGGACCAGCGGTTGGCCTGATCTGCACGCAAGGGTTTCTTGGGTCAACGGCTCTTCGTGACTGCTGCTAGTCCCTCATCGCTTCCCACCATATTGGTTAGGTATGGGGCGTGTTCCTGTGGTTGCGCATGCAGGGACACCTTTAGCGCACGTGCTGGCGTTTGGTGTCGGCGGGAATGCCTGTGTGATCACCGGTATTTTTCTTCAAGACAGACTTTGTCTGCAGGGGCTTCGGTAGGTTGCGGAAGGTACGTTGCTTGAGGTCAGGCCAAAAGACTGGACGACGACGTCTGCGCACGCCTCATCTTTCTTGGAGGCGTCCTCTTCGTTCCTCTTCTCCTACCGTGTTGTAATTGCAGGTGAAAACCTTTCCATGACAGGATAGCTTGTCGGCGCCTTTGCCATTGTTTCCTTCTTGGAGGCATCGCTAGGTTCTCTAGCTCCACTGTTGCACTCTAGTCATCTTGCTGTTGCTTTGCTCCAAGTTGTGTTTATGGTGGTGCTCGACAAATCGTTGTGGTTGTTAGTTGTGCACTGTTCTGGTTGACAGAGAGTGGTTGATTGAGAGTTGTTGCTAGTTTGGTTCTTGGGTTGAGTTGTTCAAAGTTGTTTTGGTTGTTAGCTAGATGTCAATGCAGTTGAGTTGCTAGCTAGTTGGGTCGTTTTTGACCAAGTTGGCACAGGTTGAGCAAAGTTGTTAGTTGTTTGGATGATGTTCCAGAGTTTGGGAGGATGAGTGGCTCCCTGTTGTGTGGGTTCTAGGTCCAATTTTCACTTAAAAAATTGGACTCACACATATTTTTATTTTCCCCGTCCAATAAAAATCGCGGTAAAGCTTTCAAGGGAAAACTTTTGGTGCGTCTGAAAATGGAGCAAGACGCTCTTGAAAACATCTGTAAACACAACACCTGCAACATGTGCCTGAAGCACCTGTAACATGCTCTCGAAAACACTTGAAACATAGGATTGCAACATAGTCTTTCAGAGCAACATTTCCTTGCAACACAATACCTGCAACATGCGTTTGAAGCACCTGCAAAATATAGGCTTGCAACATACACTTTTCGGAGCAACATCTCCTTCTCGTTGGGCGAACGGAGGCGCGCATCGGCACACAGAGCTCGACGGCGGTGTGTGGAACAAGCCGGTGGCGCAGATCTCGATGGCGTGGAGCTAGCCGGCGATGCGGAGCTCAGCGGCGCACAGAAGGCAATGTCGCACGAGCCACCCAAAGCTTGGTGCCGGCGTGTAGAGGGTAGGGTGGGCCAGGCGCGACGACGCAGAGGGCGGGGTGGGGGCAGAGGCGGCGGTGTGCAGAGAGCGGGGTGGGCCACGGCGACGATACAGAGGAGCACGACAACAGCGCTCCGACGACACAGGCATTTCGGAACGACAATCAGGCCGTATCATTATCAAATTGTTTTCTCTGTAAATTTGGGTAGGTTGACTTAGGACAAAAGAAAAGAGTAGCTTTTAAGATCTGAGATTTTAAAAAAGATTGTAGAAATCTAATAAATATGCTTCTAATTTGTTTTCGTGAATTGAAAAATTTATTGACTCAGCAATTGCTTTTTTAACTATCTGAGATCCTCTGACACGCTGACGCCGACTGAACTTCGACTATCTAATCGATTCCGGCCGTTCCTCGTTTCGTTGGCTACCGTTCATTGCTTTGCCCCCAGGGCCCACCAATTGCGAAACAGCGAAACCCAACAGCGAGGAGAGGAGGAAAAAAAAGGGAACGAGCCCCGTCGACCCGCGATCCCCGCGCACCGGCCGCCGGCGATCTCCGCCGCCGCGGATGCGAAACGCTCCCCCTCCGGCGGCGGCAGCGTGGTGGCCTGCGCACGTTCGTGAAGGGCCCCTCCGCCACGCGCCCCGTCTCCTGTGGCTCCGAGTCCGAGCTCGCTCACCGCGCCCGCGCCGATATCGCCCTCCTCGCGCCCGCGCCCGCGCGGATAGAGTCTGAGCTCGCTCCCGCGCCATCGCCTCGGGGCGGAGCCGCGGAGCTGATCCGGATCCACCAACATGTGGCTTTTCTGGCGCACTAGGAACCGCTTCTCCGTTGAGGAGCTCCGGTATCTGACAGATCAGCTGCAAAAGGTTCATGTCGTCAACGAAGCTAATCAGGATTTCGTGATTGAAGCATTGAGATCAATTGCGGAGCTTATGATATACGGGGACCAGCATGATCCTTCAATTTTTGAGTATTTTATGGAGAAACAGATCATGGGTGAATTCGCTCGTATCCTAAGGATCTCTAATCTGTCAAGAGTGTTACTCCAGTTGCTGCAGACAATGGGCATCATGATCCAAAATCTGAGAGATGAACATTCAGTTCATTACATCCTTAGCAGTGAGCACATCAACTTCTTCATCACGTACCCGTTCGATTTCCGGATCGATGAGATGTTATCCTACTACATATCCTTTCTGCGGGCGATAAGTGGGAAGCTGAACAAGGATACAATTTCTTTGCTGGCGAAGACGGAAGACGATGAGGTCACTTCCTTTCCTCTCTATGTGGAGGCTTTGAAGTTTGCCTTTCACCAGGATAGCATGATTCGAGTTGCTATTCGAACCTTGACACTCAATGTCTATCACGTTGGAGATGAATCTGTTAACAGATTCGTTTGCCGTGTGCCTCTGTCAGACTATTTTTCTCACATGGTCCAGCATTTTCAGAAGCAGTGCATTGACTTGGATAAGTCGGCCGCACGCTCCTCGCGAGTTGCAGATTCTTCTCTGCCGGTGTCTTGTGTTGAAGATGCGATTGTGCAGATTGAGGACACGCTGTATTATTTCAGTGATGTTATGTCTTCTGGTATTCCTTATCTTGAAAGGTTCATCACTGACAATATCTTGCAAGCTCTGGTGTTTCGGTTATTGCTCCCGTCATTGCAGAGGCAGAGCGCAGATTTGGACCTAAGTGTCACTACATCCATGTATCTGCTTTGCTGTATACTGCACATTTTGAAGAATAAGGATATGGCAAGTACTGTCGCTGCTGCACTTTTCCATCAACCTGATTGCCCTGATGATATGAAGCGAAGGACACCTCCTAATGGGTATACATCTGAGCATGATGATTGCAAGTCTGAGAATCATTGCACCACGGCCTCTGTTGTCGAGCAATCAAATGAGGATGAGCCAAATTCTCTGTCTTCTGTTAGTTGGAAATGCTTGCCCAACCATTCACCGCCAAGTGATTGCTGCCATGGCAACACACCAAGGGAACACTTGCTGTCCTATATCACAGAAGGAGATGATTCACAAGCTTTGGGTTCATTGTGCTTATTCGCTACATTATTGCAGACGAAAGAACTTGACGAATCAATGCTGGATGCACTTGGCATCCTCCCTCAAAGAAAGCAGCATAAGAAGCTTCTGTTACAAGCTTTAGTAGGTGAAGACCTTGATGAAGGACAATTATTTTCATCAAGCAGTGGTCTAAATGATGACAGCATTCACAGTGATTTTGATATTTATGTAAGGAAGCTTCAGGATAAATATGGGCTACAGTGTCACCATCCACAGGCACGGCAAATGACTTCCAAAGCTCACAGATATCAGGTGCTCGATGCTTTAGTCGACCTTTTCTGCAGATCAAGGTTTCTGCAGATGTTCGCTTAGTTGGTGGCTGGCTTTTCCGGCAACTGCTGTCCCATGGAGAGGAAGAATTCACTGCTTTTCATCTAAGACGACTAAAGGATTCATACAAGGATTGTAGCTCAAAGCTTTCAGAGGAATCTGGAGGATGCTGGTGCGACATGCTTCTTCCTATCATTAAAGAGGCTTGGAGGAACTGCAAGAAAGAAATTGATGTATCTTCTGTTGCCATTGCAGAGGGAGTCTATGAGATAGTTAAGCATTGCATTCTTGCTAGTTGTAGAATTACGAAAGCTGACGAAGACTGCCCAGAGGGAAGCCCAACAAAATACTTAGAATACCCTCCATGCATCTCCAAGGACATAGAAACATTTTGCTGGTGCAAGCAACCAATGGGGAAAGAAGAGATCGATACTGGCAGAATGGAGGAATATTCACACAGCTACACTGAACCGCTGATGTTGACTGATGACACAAAGGGAGGTTGTAGAAGGGAAACTTTCAGCAGCTATAAGCTTCAACTGCTTACCGTGCTGAACAATTGCTATAAACTGCAACAGCTTAACATGCTGAACACTTGAGTTCAACATTTGTAAAGCTTACAGAAGAGGATCGGGTTGCTTGGCCAATTGCCATATACTAGGGGCTGCTTCATTCAGGACTATGGATTCAACTGTGCTTCAGTGTTTTCTTCTTTGGATAATTCGAATCACTTTGATTGATTTGAATGTGAAATAAGATCAACCCTATATTACCTCAGAAAAAAAAAAGACACAAAATTCGCCACTGGCCCTCGTCATCGGTCTCTAGCTTGGGCCACTGTGTGTGAGACTGAGTTAGGTAACGTTACCTGATCGATGTGATTCCATGTATAAGTGAAGTCTTGATTACTGCAAGACTATATATACAAGAAAAGAAAAATAAATAAGGCTATGTTTGAATGCAAAATATTTTGAGTTTTTTTTAAAAATACCATGATTTTCTAAAATACTTTGGTTTTATTTGAGAGTGTTATGTGATGTTTGGATGCAACAAATCTTATGGTTTTGAAAACCATAATACTACAACATCAAGATAGGGCCTGAATCTTTTGTTGACATGCCTATATTCTAGAGAGATGTCAAATCACTCGTACATGCGAAATGCTCTATATATACTATATACATGAACGTTGCACCTAACTATTTTCAATTTATGGTTTAGTGGTTATTTTATAAACATATGCATGTGGGCTCAAACGAGCCACACATAGAGAACTAGAGAACAGTAACGCGCCCATGATATTCGAGAGGTTGGTTAACTGATGCAAATAAAATAGTTTTGAGACCATGGGGGTGGATTGGTGTCTTCAACTACTGCAGCCTACTAGGTAGCGTTTGGATGAGAAGATGAGGAGGGACGGGACGGGATGGAACCGGGACGAGCGCCGTTTGGTTTAGAGGCAACCGGGGCGAGGACGTCCCACGAGCGAATATTCGCCCAAGTTCTGGGCTCGCCTCGCCCCCAGAAAAACAACGGACGGGCGCGGCCCTCGGTGGGACAAGCCGCACACAGCGTGAAAAAACGAGACACGAGCGGGTGCTTTGCCACAGTTGGGGAAGAAGGACGAAGCGAGAATCACCGGAGTTGCTTGGAGTCGAGGAAGAAGCGGTGCGCGGCCATGGGGGCACGAGCTCCGCCCCTGGCGCCGTCTTGCCTGGCCCCGGCGAGCGGCCATTGGAGCACGGGCTCCGCCCCTGGCACCGTTGTGCCCAGCCCCGGCGAGATCCGCCCCTGGCGTCGTCGTGCCCGGCCACAGCGAGCTCTGCCCCCGGCGAACCGCGAGGAGGTCCTCGGCGCGAGCTCTGGGGCCGGCCCTGCCGTCGCCGCGAGAGCTCCAACCCCACCGGCGGAGGAGGCTCGGGGCGCCGCGCGGAGGAAGCCCGGGGCAGCGCGCGTCCGGGCTCTGGCGGAGGAGGCGCGGGGCAGCCAGCCACCAGCGGGCTGCTGCTCTGACGCGTGGAGGAATCGCGGCCTCACGGGAGGTTGCGTGGAGAGAAAAAGAAAAAGGAAAAATAAAAAAAAATAACAAATGGGCTCCACCTGTCATTCACTTATCCGACTTTTAATGCCTTTGAACAAAAAAACAGGTTGGTTCATCCCTATCCACATTACTAGAGAACAGACTTTAGAACGATGTCCTAATTTGGCATTAGCCTCGGCATTTTTTGCCTCCGGGACTAAAGGTTCCTGCCCAACGGTCGTCCGCGGGGCAGGGATCTTTAGTCCCGGCTGGTATTACCAACCGGGACTAAAGCTTTTAGTCCCGGTTTGGGTGATGCCCCGGGAATAAAGATTAATCTTTAGTCCCGGTTTAGCCCCCTAACCGGGACTAATTATCCCGGCCTATAGACCAGCTCATTTCTTCCTCCCCGAGTCCGAGCCATTCCATTCAAACTCACTGCCTCTGTTCTTCAGCTTGCTGTTGTTCTGGCTCTCTCCCCCTCCATTGGTGTTGCTCTTCGATTTTGGAGGTAACAAACTTAATCGTCTTATGTTTTATCGGTAGCTTATCTTATTTTACGATGTAGATGCATGTGTAACTTTATATGTTGGACTTTATTATGATTTTATGTCCTTTTTAGCTCAAAATCATATGATGATTTGCATATATGTTTGGATAAACAAAAGTTAAATTAGTTCATCAGAATCACTTGATAGTTTAGTATTGCTAGTGTATGTAGTACATTTCATGGTTTAGTTAGATAAATAAATATTTTTATTTTTTTAATATATTACTTTCGCAATGAGAAATTTACAATAGTTTGCAAAAATAAGTATAGAAAGTAACTTGATATGGTGGATTTGATTATGATTTCTATGTCATTTTTAGCTCAAAATCACATAATGATTTACAATAGTAAAATCACTTGATAGTTTGGTATTTTACTATTATACATAGTACATATTTCATGGTTTAGTTAGATAAATAAATAATTTTAGTTTTGTTTAAATATATTATTTTAGAAAATATGAAATTTACACTAGTTTGCAAAAATAAGTATAGAAAGTAGATGACAAGCGGTATCGATCCTCGGCCTCTCGTTCGGTTCTTGAAACGATCGAGGCTGAACTCCCTCTCATTATCTCATGCGGCAAGTGTAAGCGAAGATTGTGATGGAGTACCGAGTCAAGAGACAGGGACCCAACAAGGGTCGTGTTTTTCTGAGTGCCCGGATCGCGATGTGAGTTTCTTACGCATTTGATTATTATGGCTAATTGACCTGCTTTTCTTGAATATTTTACTAAATATTTTTTGGCTTTAATTTCATTGGGAGGGCAATGGATGCGATGGTTGGTACTGGGAGGAAGATTATGCTACATACGTGCGAGAATTCGGGTGCGCTTTGAGGTAGCGGTCTGCGATGATGAGGCGTTGAGCCAAAGGAGAAGCTTATTGATATTCAACAGACGAATGATTTGTCTGCTTTTAGTTCGCGTCTGATCACGAAATAATTATATTCTTGAAGTGCAATTTGTAGTTTTAGTTTGTTTAGTGATAGTTGGGATTGCTTACGTTGTAGCCCGGCTTAGTTAATTAATCAACCATGTGTGTGTCATCTATGTTGTGTAATAAAATACTTAATTATGTTCAAGGTTTTCATAATTTGTCGTGTAATGCAGATTATGCCACGTCATTGGATGTACAATGCCGATCGCCGCTCCCAAGACTTTATTGAGGGCATGCACTATTTCTTAGGTGTGGCCGAGGCAAATAAGCTGGATGGTTTCATGTGCTGTCCATGTGCCATATGTAAGAATTTAAAGGAATATTCAAGCTCAATGAGTCTTCATTCACATTTGCTTATGTCAGGTTTCATGTCAAACTATATATGTTGGACTAAGCATGGAGAAAGCGGGGTCATGATGGAAGAAGGTGAAGGAGAAGATTTAGACATTGATGACATTATTGCTCAGTATGGTGCCTTTGATGATACTACAATGGGGAAGATGAAGAAGAGGTAGCGGCAGAAGATGATCTCGGTGATGCTCTTGGCGATGCCATTCGTGATGCACAACAAGAATGCGAAAGTGAAAAAGAGAAAGTTAAGTTCGAGCGCATGCTTGAGGATCATAGGAAGTTGCTATACCCGACGGCCGAAGGGGGGCAAAAAAAGCTGGGTACAACACTGGAATTGCTACAGTGGAAGGCAAAGAATGATGTATCCGACAAGGCATTTGTGAATTTATTGAACCTCATAAAGAAGATGCTTCCGAAGCCAAATGAATTGTCCACCACTACGTACGAAGCAAAAAAGGTTGTCTGCCCTTTGGGATTAAAAATCCAGAAGATACATGCATGTCCTAATGACTGCATCCTCTACCATGGCAATGAATACGAGAATTTGGATGAATGCCCGGTATGTAAAGCATCGTGGTATAAGACCAGGCGCGATGATCCTGGTGACGTCGAGGGTGAACAACGTCCTAGAAAGAAAATCCCTGCCACGGTTATGTGGTATGCTCCTATAATACCACGCTTAAAATGTTTGTTCAGAAATAAAGACCATGCAAAATTGTTGCAGTGGCATAAAGAAGACTGTAAGGTAGACAATATGCTGAGACATCCAGCTGATGGGTCCTAGTGGAGAGCGATAGACAGGGAATTTTCAGAGTTTGCAAATGAGGCTAGAAACTTAAGGTTCGCCTTAATTCGCCTTAAGTACAGATGGTATGAATCCTTTTAGGGAGCAGAGCACTAGTCATAGCACTTGGCCAGTTACTCTATGTATCTACAACCTTCCTCCATGGTTATGCATGAAGCGAAAGTTCATTATGATGTCGATCGTCATCCAAGGTCCGAGGCAACCTGGCAACGACATTGATGTCTATCTGAAGCCATTAGTTGAAGAACTTTTAGTTTTATGGAACAAACCAGATGTACGTGTCTGGGATGAGTACAAACAAGAACACTTTGACCTATGAGCAATGTTGTTCATAACAATCAATGATTGGCCTGCTTTAAGTAATCTTTCAGGTCAGACAAACAAAGGATATAATACATGCACACATTGTTTTGATGACCTTGACAGTATATATTTGAAAAGATGTCGAAAGGTCGTGTACCTTGCCCATCGTCGATTCCTTCCTTTGAATCACCAAGTAAGAAAGAAAGGGAAGCATTTTAAAGGTAAGCCAGACCACCGGAAGAAGCCTCATAACTGAACTGGGGAAGATGTACTCGCAATGGTCAAGGATGTGAAAGTAGTATTTGGAAAGGGACAAGGCAGCGAATCTATTCCCAAAGATGCTAAGGGACACGCACCCATGTGGAAGAAGAAGTCCATCTTTTGGAAGCTACCCTATTGGCAAGTCCTAGAGGTCCGCAACGCAATCGACATGATGCACCTGACAAAGAATCTTTGTGTGAACCTGTTAGGATTCATGGGTGTGTACGGGAAGCCAAAGGATTCACTTGAAGCACGCTAGGACTTGCAGGGCATGAAAGAATGAGACAACCTTCATCCAGAGAAGACAGATGATGGACGTCATTACTTAAGTCCTGCTAGCTACACGCTTAGCAAAGAAGAGAGGGATAGCA